AGGGTTTGTGTTTACTGTCCGGTGCGCGCGTGCGTGGGTGAGGGCGAGGGGGGGAGGGAGGGCGTGGGATGGGGGAGGGGAGGGCGTGGGATGGGGAGGGGGGGAAGGGGGAAGGGGGAGGACGTTTGGGTGTATATGTGAGGGGAGGGGTGTTTATGTAGGTATGGGAAGGGCGGGGTAGAGGGGGGGGGTAAAGTGTATGTATATCGGAAGGGAGAGGGTGTGCGGAGGAGGAGAGGGAGTGTATGTGTGTGTCTGTGTGTGTGCGTGAGGCGTCGGGGATGTGACTGTGTGTGTACGTATCTATGTGTGAGTTTCTTCCAATCTATATGTGCATTTGTGTGTTTCTGCGTCAAGTGATGATGCTCAACATGATATTTATATTCAACAAGCGTTTTTAGAGGTCTTGTTTACATATTGTCCGGTGTTTTTTTATGAAAAAGATACTCATTTTTCACCAATTAACTGAAACGGTTGATAGAAATTCATGGTAGTTGGTAAAAGAAAAAAAAGAGAGCTATAAATCCCAGTTCGATCACGTCTCCGTATATAAAAAAGTCAGCTCTTCACTTCAGTTATCTTGAGCGGAAGTCCATGCTAGAGCGCTCCCCCCCCCCTCTCACCTTCTCATCTCCTCACTCCCTCATCTCGCTCTTTCATTCCCTCCCTCCCTCGGCTCTTTATTATCTCGTTCCCTCATGTCTTATGCTCATCTTGCCCTTCCTCGGTCCATATCCTCATCTCCCGTCCCCCTGATCCCTCGCCTCCTCGCCCCCCCTCCCCCCCATAAACTCATTTCGTGGATGGAGATGAAATGTTGTGCGTCATGTCAACAGGTGATGGAGGCCGATGACTTTGTGGGGATCTACAGCTCCGGCCTCGATGCCTCTGCGCCGCTCTATGTCCTCACGCACGGGTGAGTAAACTTACTCATGGCTTCACGTACTCACTCACTCAGACACACGTGCACGAACGGACACCGTCTTTTATCAGTGTGTACATGCTTGCTCTTTCCGGACAGACAAACGCGAACACACACAGTGTTAGACACTCGTGCAGGTGCATGCTTTTGAAGACAATCGCAGGCGTAAGCTCTTACAGGGGTCGAAACATACATGCTCACACCACATGCCCAGATGCAAAAAGATCCACATATATGCACACAAGCACCCGCACAGACGCACACATACAGGCACACATACGCAAGCAAACACACGCATTCATGCAGGTACGCACGTCTGCACGGGCACACACGTCTGGACACACGCGGGCTCGCGTCCTCATACACACGCAGACAGGCATTCGCGCACACACACGCCTACACACAAACACAAACACACGTGAACAGAAGGCAACACACACACTTAAACAAACTCACTAACAGGCAAACGCACATACACATCCAAACACACACGCATACACACAGGCGCACGCACGCACGCGCTTCCAAATACATCCACAAACGTGCAGGCACACAAACACATACATTCAAAGACCATTACATCCACTCATACTAGAATCAACACATACACTCAAACGCACAACACATTCAGACACACGCATAAACAAACACACTCAAATACATTCAAAGCCATACATAATCAAACAATCAAACAGGCTTCCAAACACACACTCAAATAAACTCATTCTCAAACACACACAAATACACTAAACACACACATACATACTCAAGTACACAATCACACATGCACATATTCAAACACACAAAAAAGCGCTTTAAGCATACACGCACTCTACCAAACATAAATATACACACTCAGACACACACTCAAATATGCATGCGGAAACGCAACCAGATACACGCACACACTAGCGATACACACTCAACAATACAAACTCAAATACACACGCAGCCGCATACAATCAGTCCCAAGCTCGAACACAGACACGTAAACACTTAATTCATTGCAACAAGTGTGCAACAAGAAAAGGTATGGATGAGAATCTTGACGATATCAGCGATTATTTGACCGGTTTCGGTTCTATCTACGTCATTATTCATACTTTTTTCTACAACATGCACTCAAACTCAAACATACTTATATACAAACACTAAAGTACAGACACAAACTCACTCAGAGAAACCTACTCATATGTATGCACTCGTTAACACTTTGAAACACTGAAATACACACACTCAAACACATATCCAAACACACACCCAGATACAAATATGCACTGAAACACTGGCACACACACCCACGGTGTGGGTGTCACACATATAGATTCAGATATACACACCAAAACACACATTCAAACACACAGACACTCAAACAATCTCACTACACAAACACATCCACACACACACACACACACAAATACAAATACATATACATATACATATACATATACATATACATATACATATACATATACATATACATATACATATACATATACATATACATATACATATACATATACATATACATATACATATACATATACATATACATATACATATACATATACATATACA